AGTACCCTTGAAGTTTAGCATAGTTTTTTTATTTTCTAAATAGGAAAAGAGAGAAATAAAGAAAGAAAAAACACATGGCCATCTTTTAAAACTACAAATCACCCCAGGATATTGGTTTATATTTAACATATTGCATCATTAAAGTGGTGTTAGCTTGTACAACAAGCACAGGCCTTAAGAATTTTTCTACCACTTCTCACAACTATCCCTCTTTTTCTTGAATGAGACAAAACATATTCAGTTTCTGCAGAATTAATGCATCTACAACATCTTCTCAACATTGTACTACAATCTGCTGCCACAAACAAGAGCTTCATGTTGTAAGCAGATGTGAAATCTCAATACCACAGGGAAATATAGTGATTTAAACAAAAGGGCCATACACACTAACAAAAATGAGCACATCACCTCCAAGCTACATCCAGCAAACTTCTCATCGTGGAACCAGGATCACCAGAACAAGAAAGCATATCTTGTTTCCAAACAAACACAAGTGTAGCTAAGCATTGGGTTGCATTCTTATACATGTATCATCCCGCTGTTAATTTCATATTTTAATATAGAAGCTAATTACATGTTTTAAGGTAACTGAATATAAAAATTAACCTTCATTTTTCTACAGTCAGTACTCTGGAGAACTATTATCACGACAGGATCAAATGAAACTCTAAAGAGTGCTTTTACCACTTCAACAGGGGCGTTCTGCGAAATAATATGTTGCAGTCGTAAGCACTATACAAATCATAATATGAAAACACCAATCATAATGTAAAAATGCTTGTTACCTTTATCAGCATTGTGACAAGATCTAAAGAACCTGCAACTAAACCATCGCGTTCTATTTGAGGCTGAAAAATGTAAACAGTATCATGTGACGATGACAAAATACAAATATCTATTGTTTAATAATTTTCCTTCCATTATTAGTGATAGGGAAAGCTTGGCATACACTATTGAGGATTGGCTCGATGTAGGGGAAAACTATGAAAACCAGCGAACGAGTGCACCCAGTGACCTTTATTATGGCCCGAAAAGGTGCAAAACACAAGGCAGTAAAGAATCTCTTAAAGAACACCAGAAGTTACAAATTTCAGCTCACGTTAACTTAAACTGTCGATCATGAAAAATTTCAAATAAGAAACATTTTATATTGTTCTGCAGAAAGCATACAAAGGATGTTTCTAAATAATCAGAGAAAATGTCCAAAAACAGCATGGTTGACCTTTGGAAAAGCACTCAGGGTTGCAAAACATATTGTCAGACAACTAAAACAATTGTAAGGTTTTGGGGAGTCAAATGCATCTTCAAGAAATATGCTAATTTACAGCAGAGACAGATACGAAATACATTGACATGCCCCACATAATCCTAATTTCCAACAATGGGAAATGGGTAAACGAATAGAAGTGTGTGTGTCTATATATATATATATACAACTCAATACCTCCAAAACTTTTAGAGCATCTATACTGATGAACGGGTAACAAACATGGGAATCCCACATGTTGAGCATGATACTAGATAAATTTGGCTCTATTGAGGCTGTAGCTTCATGACCTGTAAGTGAAAATACACAAAGTGAGCTTCTCCTGGTTGAGTATCGGATCCCCAAATCAAACTAAAACAACACATCAAACTTGAAGTTTAATTGCACTAACCAGCTGCCACAGCTGCTTGCAGAGCAGCAAGTACTAAATGCATAGTTCCATCAGAGGCCAGCAAAGAAAATAAAAACATATATGATTAAATATTAAACAAATCTAGAAACCAGGGAAAAAAACACACACCAGGTACATTTCACTTTACATCTTTCAGAAGATCTATAAGTGACAATAATAAGTCCTGTTGAACACATCCGGTGGTGGCATCTGGTAAAAGCTGAGATAAAGCTCGACAAGCACCAAATTTAACTAGTGGAGG